GCGGGGCTTTGCGAAGCCCTCAAACGAGGTTCACTCGAACACGAGCTGGAGGCGCACCCCTGCCTCTGGCGGCAGTCACATCCACGGCCCCGCACGCAGCTCTCTCGGGGCCCGTGGGGAGAGAAGGGAGCGAGGGACTCAGGCAGGACCCTGTGAGGGCGCGCATGACGTTGAGGTGAACTATGATGACCAGTGATTACCCCCTGCCTCCGCCTCCACCTTCACCCGCGACCGCCCTCAGCACCATCATCCGCCCGCAGTTTCTATCCCCGCGCTCCTCACCTCATGCGATCATCTCCTTTTACCTCCTCTTTTCGATCACCACCCTGACATCGCACCATGGCAACGGTGCCCCCTGCAAGGCTGCCCCTGGCAACGGCTGGCGATAACTGTCGCCGACGCGCCGGCCAGAGCTGCAGGCGCGCGCCCGACGCAGCAGCCCTGGGCGAGACCGCCGCCCCGAGTGCCACGCGAGCATTTCAGTCGCCCACAATCAGAAGACGGATGCGCGGCTTGGGCGGCGGAAGACAAAGACACTCTGATGCGCACAGGAGCCCCCGACCTCGACGAAAGAGACCTGCCAAAGCACCCTGCGAGAGGCGGTCACAAGAAAGCCAACATATCGAATTGCAGGAAGGAACGAAGCCTGCCAGCAGATCCCCCCTCATCGTACTCCCCCATCCTCCTCCTCCCCCATCCTCCTCCTCCCCCATCCTCCTCCTCCCCCATCCTCCTCCTCCCCCAACGTCCTCCTCCCCCATCCTCCTCCTCCTCCCCCTCCTCCTCCTCCGCCTCCTCCTCCACCGCCTCCTCCTCCTCTCCCCCTCCTCCTCCCCTTCCGCCTGCGTCCCCCTCATCCTCCTTAATGTCTTGGTCCTCCTCCTCCACTCATGGGCGCATGCAGTGAGACCGCGCGCTCCAGGACCGCGCTGCTGCTACGGGGCCACAGGCAGCGCCAGGAGGTCCTCTGGCTCCTGCGCGGGGCCCATGTTGCGGATATCCATGGCCATGTGCTGCGAGCGGGCATCGTCCGCCGATCGGTCGATCGCAAGGCCTGCCAGAAGCCATCGCTGGACCTGCCGCCGACACTCCGCATCGCTCAGCACTCGGTCGGCGTGCCCGCGCCCTCTATATCTCAAAGGGCGTTTGCACTCTGTCATGCCGCCGTCGGCATTGCGGTGGAGACCGCACCTTCCACCCCAGCCGACCTGGATGCCGCCGTCCATCAAAGGTGCTAACTGGAAGCAGCCCCACTGCTCGAACCGCCGCTGCCGGCGGCCTGCCGGCACGGGCCCCGCGGGCGGCGCGGGCCCCGCGGGCGGAGCGAGTCCCGCAGGCGGCACTGGCGGGGGCGGCGGCGGCGGGGCTGGTGCCGGAGGCGCCGAGCCAGCGCCGCCAGCACTCATCAACTTCGGGAGCTGCATCGCGTCCTCGATGTCGGACGGCCTCTCCTCGTCGCTGCTGCCAGGGTCGACGTGGTCGGACGCGGCGACTTTGCTTGCCCCGAGCACCTTGGAGTTAACGTGCTCGCACTCAAGGACCGACGAACGCTGAACCCTTGAAAGGGCCCTGGAACCTCTGGATGAGACGAGCGGCCTTGGAGCCCTCCTCGAAGAAGCTGGCGATGTCGCTCGCCGGCGGGGCAACCACCGTGCGGCTGCGCATGGAATCCTGCGGGCAACGGGAGCGGGCCGCCATCCCCTCCCCAGCGTCATCGTCAGCATCATCACCAGAATCATCAGATCAACATCGTCGCCAGCGCGCCTACATCGGCATCGCCTCCTCGCCCCATTCCCAACCCCCGCCCGCGCCACCGCTGCCAGCCCCTCAGGGCCTCCGAAGGGACCCCCAGCACTAAAGCTCGGACAGAGGCTGGAAGGGTTGCCACGGCCCCGCTGTCCTGGCGCAGGAGGCTGCGAGCCAACACCACGGGCTCCCCAAAGCGCAGCAGGTACTGTCGGCAGAGCGGCCTATCCCCGGCGAAATGCTTGTGCAGGATCGGACGGACGACCAGGCTGTGGGAGTCCTCCATGGCCAGGTCCCCCACGGCTGCGCTCACAACGCCCGCGTGATTGATCACCGGGAACGCGCCGCCGCCCATGTGGAACTCGAGCGTGCCAGCCCGCTGTCTGCCTGCAGCGAAAGCCCTCCGCCTCCTTCGCTGCCCTCCTCCTTCCTTGCCCTCCTCAGTCCTTGCCCCCCTCCTCCTTGCCCTCCTCCCCCTTGCCCTGCTGCTCCGCATCCTCCTGAGGCCCTTGCCCCCTCTCCCCCTTGCCAACCTCCTCGTCGCCCTCCTGCTCCTTGTCCTCTCCCTCCTCCTCCTCCTCCTCCCCCTCCTCCTCCTCCTCCTCCTCTTCCCCCTCTGCCTCTGGATCTCCCCTCCCCCCGCCCCATCATCGCCATGCTCATCTTGCAGGCGTCCTCATTATCCGCGCCCCCCTGAGTTTTGACACTGAATCTTGATCCCCCTGGGCCGTTTGACCCCGCCCACCTCGAACGAACACAGCCAGCGGCGGGTCGCTTCCTCTGACGTGCCCGCACCATGCGATTACGTCGTTACGTCGCGCCCAAGCAAGGGCACGGTCACGTCGGTCGCGTCGGCAACATACACGTGCAACCACGTGAACTCCAGCCCCTTCCCCCACACGTACCTGCGCAGCTCTTGCCCGAAGGTCGCAGACGCTGCGCACGGCTCCGGGCGCATCGACGATCGGCAGACGCCGAAGTGCAGCTGCTGGCAACTCTCTCGCGGCTTCAGCTGGGCATTGGCTGGGATGCTGCGACGGTTGGGCACGAAACAACCCTCGCAGAACTCGTCGCGGCACTGGCTGCCCCATTGCCTGAAGGAGATCTCATCCGACTTGCCTGGCTGTCGCTGAGCAGCAGCTGCCGCAAACGCCTCTTTGTTGACAGGGAGGTGTTTACTTGCAAGTCCCAGCAACGCACCCGACTCTGCGATCCCAGAAGCTGGCGCAGGAGCGCTGCCGGGGCCATCTTTCGTCTCCTGGCTTCTTCGGCCCACTCGAGCTTCGCGGCCCTGGGGAGCATGGCATACTCAGCGGCAATTCTCCTTTGATAACGCGACCTCTCGGAAGCTGCGAATGTCTGACCATTCCTCGCAGCCTGGTCCATGGCCGCGTTCAGGTATGCGAGATGGCCGCGAAGCCCCCCCTCGTCCCCTGCGCCGGCCGCGTGGAGCGAACCAACGGCACGCCGTGGTCAATGGCGTGCTGGGCGGTCTCGTGGCGCGGGTCGCGCCCACCGTGCGAAGTGCGGTCTTGAAGACACGCGGCGAGAAACCCGTGACAGCACACTTTCTCAAGGGCAGGGGCGCCTCTGTCTCGAAGCACAGACTGTTGAACTAGAGCAAGATGGCGTTCAAGGTGCATGTTTGAAATTAAGGCCTTGCGACCAAACAATACCAGCCCTCTCCAAAATTTCCTATCAGCAATCATCTCAGCCGGCCCGACCCAAATGCGGCGAAGTTTGGCGGCCATGCGGGGTTCCAGGCAGCACTCTGGCACGTCAAAGAAATGCCGCACGGTATCTTTGAGAAGCTGGTCATCGGGATCTCGGTGCGCCACTCGAAGGAGAGGATACGGCCACGCGTTGAAGTGCTCAATGAAGCGCCAGCGATGCTGCGCGCACGCGCTCACGCACAGCTGCAGGGCGAGGCCCTTTATCTTGATGGCAGTCTCCCCGTCGCCGTCGAAATGCCCCAGCAGCGATGAGAGCGGCCCCTCGCTGGGCAAAGTCGTGACCGCGCGGAAGAGCTTCGACTGCGCCTGCGCAAATGGACTGGACCCCTGCGACGCGCAGTCCACGAGAGAGCCACCCTGCGAATCGAGAAACTCGAGCCTCTTCCACAGCCAAGACATTGGCCGACCCGCCCAATGAGAAGTGAGGCACCGAATCTGAAAGCTTGGCGAGTTCAATGCGAGCTTCGCACGGTGCACTTTGTTCCTGATCCATTTGTTGAACTCGGGGTCGCCAACTTCATCGACAATATCAGCCTCGGACACGGCGTCATATTTAGGAAATGCCTCCGAAATGATCAGGCCAGCGAGATTGTGAATCAATCGCCCTGGAGAATGCTGTCCGATGGCGTCGTCGATCTGGCCCCACCTGTTCTTGCTTGGCACGGCGCAGCCGGCGGCCGGCAGAATGCACTCGAGCAGCGACGCCGTCGCGTGGGCGACCTCGGGGCGAAACGCGCCCTCCACCTCATCCTCCTCCTCCTCCTCCCCCTCCTCTGCGTCCTCCTCCACGTCCTCCTCCACCGCCTCATCCAACTCCCCCTCCTCATCTTCCGCCCCCTCCTCATCCCCATCCCCCTCCCTCCCTGCCCTCCCACCTCCCCCGCCCTCATCTCCTTGCCCTGCTACCCCTGTTCACAAGTCGCTGGTCCTGCCCCCAGCCGTGGCCCCCCCCCCCCAGCCCC